CTCATTGGGGAGCATAAGTTAATGCATAGTCAAATTGGTAAGTATTTTATTTCTTGTATTCTAAAAACTTAAAGACTAAAATTTCTACTTATTTATAATTTCTATTTATCTTTCCTAAGATAAAATATAACCCTACTCCGATTTTCTTTTCATCATGGTTTTTTCATCTACAAGGAACGTTCTCTTTTGTGCAAAATAATTTTATGGGTTTTATTTAGCAACATTTTCATTGCTTCCTCTGATAGAAATTCAGTGTGAGAAAGGATTTTTGAGGTAATCTGACATCCTCCCCTTGACTGAAAAGAGGGCTAAGGCCCACAGAGGCTCAATTACGCACAGCTGAAAAACATGAAAGCCAAGCTAAAAATAACCTAGGCCAGGGTAGTTTATTGCTGCTTTAGTCTCATTTTCATTTCAATTATATACTCATAAACTAGAAGGAGAGTTCGTTAGTGTTAAAAAGTAGTGTGACTTCGGAGAAGTGTTCAGTTTAGTGCCTGTCAGGACGTGGGGGAATCTCACCGACGTGATGCTACAGCGAGGACACAGGGCTGTGTGGCTACGGTACGTCTGCACAATCTTTTCTTGACCGTTATTCTCACAGACTGGGCACAACACACATGAACCTAAATATCTTATGTACAGACTCACTTTTAGATAGCACTAGTACTAAATGTCACTTTTTAAATTTCCAGAAGAATCAGACTCTTATGGCTTAGGTTTAAAAGTAAGAAAGTAACTTAGAATTTTGGACTTTGCTTCCAAAAGGCAGACAGGATCCAACTGAACCAGGAAGGGCCAGAATGGATATCCTTCCTGGTTCAGTTGGATCCTGAGGCTCTGCTTGAATTACATTTTTAGGTCACGAGGATAACCTTCAGTGCCCTTGATCTGCCAAACTGTAAGCTCCTTGAGGGTAAGAGCACTTTCTGATTTTTCTTAGTTGCCCCAGGGCCCACCAGAGCTCCTAGTGTAGAGCCAGTATTCAGCAAATTATATAAAAGGTGATGGTAAGAACAGATGGGAAGGGTTTCAGGAGATTAGGAGTGGCTGTAAGCAATGCTCTGTGAGACAGCTTTATGCGGAACCTGAAATGTTCCAGATATATACATATATAAATAACTTGCGGTTATTTGACAATAAATTTATTTCTTTATAAAGTTATTGCTTTGGTTATTATTGGTTATTTACTTTAATAGAAAAGTAATGAAAATAATAAATAATTTTGAATTTTCCAAAGGCTCCTGGGCTTTACATCTGAGAAAGAAGTTTCTACACAGGGACTTGGGTTTGTCAATATGAAAGAGAATACTGTTGGAATGAAATAAAGTGAAGTGCAATACAAAATTCTATTTCATGCTCTTCATATTTCTAAGGGAAAGAAGGAGAGGGGGAAAAAAAAAACTAAGGTACAAACTCCCGAAATGACTCCCAGCTCCATTTCTAGCGATAGGTCAAAAATTGAACCTACAAGAGCTTCAAGATTTCTTATGAGAAACTGTAGTAAGAAAAATACAATGACTCATCTCATAATAATGCCCTTTCTTCCCAAAGTACACATCACAATTCCCACATCCCTGGCACAAGAGTACGCGGTGCGGAGCTATTGCAACATGAGGTAGCTCCCTGCACCAACGTCCCTCAGTGGACAGCGGGGAACAGACCTCCCTGGAGCTGCGGGGGTCAGGGGGCAGCCTGGCTGTGCTCATTCTGCACCCGTCCCTCCAAAGAGGGGGATCACTCCCTTTGTACTGCTTCGTCTGCAACAGCGGTTCTTTTGTGCAGCCGCCTTTTAAAGAATGAGGAGCTATGTGCAGCTGGCTTCCTTGTGCACAGCAGTTCTGAATAGGCTCCCCCAGATTTCCTCACCAACTGTCACTTAGACACCGAGGACCAAAAAGGATAGAAGAAAAGATGAAGGAAAGGGAATCTGCGACTCAAGGCTACGGCATGAGTAAGGCGCGCAGGCTGCTGCTTGGTACTGGCTCACGCCTTCTGTGGCTGGGAACAGAGAGTTCAGTAAGCAGTTATAGGAAAGTAACTGAAGCTTATTGCCAAAGAAGTATCTCCAATTAGGCTCCTTAGGAAGCCAATCCCCCAGGCCTCGCCCAGTCAGATGTTCCTTGAGAATAACTACCAAGACAAAATGAGGTGGATCCTGCCCTGTGGCAAACAGCAATGTAAACTGATAAAAGATTTCAAAGCTCTATAGAAAACGGAAGTTCAGAGAATACTCGCAGGAGAGAGAGAGCAGGGCATCACTAGCTTTGGGCATCTGAACTATATAAGGGAGTAAGCATGCCACCTCTGCGCAAAAGGCAATTCTGGGAGGGAAGGGCTATTTATTGACCCTTAAACAGCTGGGACAGGAGGGCTCTCAGAGGTCAAATATCAATGAAGACAGAGCTCCAAGACAAGTGTGGTGGAAGGACTGCTTTGTGGTTGGTTTGATGGGCCATCTGTGGGAGAGAGACCCTCCGCTCGACCTGGACATTTTATTGTTTGTAGGGACAAGCTTGAAAGGTGGTAGACTGGAGGTCTGTGAGGAGGGAGAATGTACAGGTGAGCAGGCCAAGCACAGGTGCACAGGGCCTGTGTCCAGGGATGGAGCTGCATCAGGCTTAGTTGACTTGTGTGGGTGTGGATGGGAAAGTGTGTGAAGGCACGGTCAGAGGTGGGAAGAAAGGGCAGCTAAAGAGACAGAGCCTAACCACATCTAAGAGAATTACTCAAAACAGTGGAAGATCCTCATGATGTAAATGGCATATTTCTTATAAGCTAACTTGGTGAACTCTGATAGTATTATCACTAGATGTCAAAACATTCTGAAGATAAATAAGAACTGTACTGGCTCAGGTAAAAGACTCAGACTAGTCAACTTGTAAGAATGAAAATTCTTTTTTTTTAAAAAATATATTTTATTGATTTTTTTACAGAGAGGAAGGGAGAGAGATAGAGAGTTAGAAACATCGATGAGAGAGAAACACCGGTCAGCTGCCTCCTGCACATCTCCCACTGGGGATGTGCCCGCAACCCAGGCACATGCCCCTGACCGGAATCGAACCTGGGACCCTTCAGTCCGCAGGCTCACGCTCTATCCACTGAGCCAAACCGGTTCCGGCAAGAATGAAAATTCTTAACATTTAATAAGTCCTTAAGACAGTGGTTCTCAACCTTGGCTGCACATTAGAATCACCTGGGAATCTTTTTAAAATCCTGATTTCTGGGCCTCATC